TGTATTTGTGGACCCGCCTCTCACGATGGACCATTATTTTCAATGTCTTGAGTCTATGGCCTTGTCATTGTATGGATCAAAGGGTCAAACATTGCGGTCATCATCACATGCGTGTTAGTCTCGGGAGGGGGGGGGGGGCGACAAAATTACAAGTTTTGGCTTTCGCAATGAAGTGATGGAACTTTAGTTCCTTTCCCTTTTTCATTAGGCCATTGTTCATGGTGGCACCCTCACCGTATTTGTATCATTCCTTAATGATATACATAATACATATGCATTTCCAGACATTCAAAAAACATGTCTTAAGGCAGATTTCTAATTGACTTTGAGCTCAAGCCTATTTTGGATACAACTTGTCTGGCAACCATATATATGAAAATAGGTTAAGTTCTGAAGTTGCGGCAAGAAAGGGTCATAGATAACAACTTCTTTGTTATGCCTACAATTCTTGTTATTTGTTTTGACTTGCTTGACTTTTTATTGATTTTGAAGTTTGAATCGGCAACCCTTAGATAATTACAACTACTTGGTAACCTCAAGGCAATGATAGTCACAAGAAACTTAGGTAACTTGCCCACGACCTCATTGCGAATATTGATGGGGAACTTGTAGAGGGGAAGTGTGTTCACGTGTAACCATGTCGTGCATACTACATCTTGGGTCATATTTTCTTGTATGCGTGTGCTGGTAGGGAGCCAGGGCGGCCAATTCCCTTGCACCCCGTGGTTTCCTTAAAGGGAACTGTACGTCTACCAAAAATAAAGGAGGTCAACGCTTGCAGGCCAAGAAGTTCGAAACGAAGGATAGATGTCACCAACCAAGACCCCTATACGCGGTAGTAGTTGTGAAGCAGACGATATCGCACCACTGTGAGGGCAAGAGTCCACCACAACGTAGCCATCTTGCCATTGAAGCTGTGCTTATGCACATTATTGACAACCAAAAAGCCTAGCATGGGGATCCGCAAAACCAGAAAGCTCACTAGCCCCTCAACGCCGCTCAGATCAATGTCCATATGAGGTTGGAGTCATAACAACAAGATTGTCCTAGCACAATCCCCGTCATCACCACTGAAGCCGCACCATAACGGACATAAAACATAGACATTCGATCTAGACCAAATAAACCTAGACAGTAGAATCCAATGTCTCCCCCACCTTCTTCCGCCGTGCTACAAGAGGGTGGGGGAATCACGACTCAACAACAGAAAGGTCGGTACAGGATGGGGGGTGGGCTCGGTCCTAACATCTGAGGGGTCTCTATGCAACATAACAATTATGTCTTTTTTTCACATGACATATAATCATACACGCAGTTAGTTCGATGGCTCTAGGTAAACAGGGCTTTTTGTGTTTTAATGGGAACTTAATACTCCATGGATTAACTAAAGGACTACATAAAAGGGTATTTGTCCTAACTAGTGCAAATTAAAGAGGAATTTGCTGGCAATCGACAATTCGAGCTCTTGCACATGCCGTCGTCAACAACTAGTGTCTATTGTTTTTGTTGTTGTTGTTGTTGCACAACGGTGATAGGCGAAAAAGAGGAAGATGAGCAATGCATGGTCATTGATCGTCATAGGTTGCACCCCGCATGATAAATAAAAGGGACCTTGTATATGACAGATTTAAGGGCGTGATGCAAGGGGTTCCACGCGATTGGGCTAGCCCACTGGGCGAAGCAAGTAGAGTTTTGTAGCACGACATAAAAATCCCAAAAAAGAAGCAAGTTCCAAGGATTCGAACTCAAGACCTCGCACAATTGAATGCATGCTGCTAGTCACTAGAACTAACGTCTATTTATAATTGATTGAAAGTGTGAAATATTAGAGAACACACTGCAGCATCGAGATTTGGAAGTTTTTTGAAAAACTTCTTGAAAATTGTGTTTTAAGTGCCGAAAATTTGTTGGAAGTGCAAACAATTTTGAAATTTCCAAAATATTATTTGACATATGTGAATATTTTTTTGTGATTTCTAGTTTTTTTAATTTCAAAACTATTTTAAAAAACATGGACAATTTCTGAACAATGTGAAGAAACTCTGAAATCCCGACAGATTTTGAAAATTCCCAAGAAATTAACACAAACAATTTCTTGAAACACCATTTTTTAATGAAACAGTTTTTGAAATTCCAAACAAAATTTGAAAGCACGAATATTTTACAAAGTCACATATTTTTTAATTGTGAACTTCTTTATGAAATCATGATTTTATACAAAATTGTGGAAATTAAAAAATACAAAAGTAAAATAAAAATAAGTAGAGAAAAAGAAAATGTAAAACTAGAAAAAGAAAATCCAGAAAAAGCAGTACGGGACTGGTTGAGATCGTGCACTACGGTACGCTAAAATGGACCGGGCAACCCCAAAGCGCTCGCCTGACGCCAATGATATGTATCGCTCGTAGCACTCGCCTACAGCACATGTGGAGCAGGTGGCCCATTTAGTGGACGCCAACGGTTTTAGAATTCTCGAACCTTCCCTGCGGTTTTAGAATGGTTCCAGAAGGCTTATTTTCCTTTTCTCCTTTTTTGCTTCTTCTTTTATTTTTCCTTTTTTCTTTTGGTATTTTAGTTTTCAAATTAGTTTTTTTATTTTTATTCCAAAAATTTACAAATTTCAAACCTCCAAATTTTACAATAATATTGGGAAATTCAGAAATAGTTAAGTTTTTCCAAATATGCAGATATTTTCCAAATTCGTGAACAATTTTGAAAATTCATTCATGAACATTTTTCAAATACATGAACATCTTTCAAATTAATGAAAAAAAGTTATTGAATTATACTTAAAAAATTTGAATACTTTTAAAATTCATGAAACACAAATCACTGAAAAAAATTCATGGAATTTTTTAAATTCCAAAACATTGTACTGAAATATGCAAACAGTTTTCAAATTCATGAACTTTTACAAATACGCAAACATATTTCAAATTCAAGAGTATATTTCAAATCAATGAACTTTTTTTAAATAAGCGAGTATTTTTTTAATACATGAACGTTTTTAAAATTTGTCAATTTTTTAAAATTCATGAACTTTTTCGAATACAGGAGCATTTTTCAAATGCATGAATTTTTTCATTGATATTTCTAAATTGTTGGAGTACATAGAAATTAAAAACCACAGGAAATTCGTACTTAAAGTGGCACATGTATGTTTTTTGTGAGGCTTTTTAGGGGGTAAAAAACTTTTCTTCAAGTTACGTAGTATTCGGAATACAATAATATCGGGTGTGACAAGTAGACAGACATAGCGGCCATGCTCTAAAGAATTAGCAGGCCTTGTAAGATCATGTGCTTCGCTGGCTCCCTCTTCTCATGCACTGTGGATAGCCCGCCGAGACCCTCCTTCACTCTTATGTCTTGAATAATCACCGAACTAGCACCTCTGCAATCCTCCGACAAACGATTGGCTGTCAAAATAGAACTAGTAATTGCCTGCACTTTTTGGAGGTATAAGTCTGCTGCTATGTGCCATATCTTGTAGGGTTTCCAGCTCGATCAAGCTTCTGAGCACCATCGTGGATGCACCAAGGTAATTGCCCTCCTCTTTTGTGCAAACTGCAGCAAAAGCTCCCTTCTCCTGGTTCCTTGCGACATACTCCCTTCGTTCGGAATCACTTGTCGTAGAAATGGATGTATCTAGACATATTTTAGTTTTAGATACATCCATATTCGAGACAAGTAATTCCGAACGGAGAGAGTACGCATCAACATTAATTATTGCAAACCTCTGAGGCGGTGGAATCCACCTTTTGGTACTAGTACTTCTCATCATTGACACACCATAGTTGCTTGGTATTTCATGCTTGCCTCTATGCGGAGCGATTAAACGCTGCTTTCTGCGCCCTGGGCCTAGCCCATTTATCGGATCCTGTGAGCGATCACTGCTTCAAGCCTAGCGAAGTGAAGTTATCGACGCGAGCGAATGAGCGATGGGAGCATGCTTTTCGCTTAAACGATAATCCGGAACGGAGTTGTACTAAATTAGTGACACTTAATATGAAACCGAGGTAGTACATAGCACCCCCCGACAATGAGTTGCGGCAGTGCCTTGAAAATTCTGCACTTCCCTGTCGAATGCTTGTTATTCCCTCCGTTCCTAAATACTCCCTCCGTCCGGAAATACTTGTCAAAAAAATGTATAAAAATAGATGTATCTAAAACTAAAATACTTCTAGATACGTCCATTCCTCCGACAAGTATTTCCGGACGGAGGGAGTACTATTTGTCTTTCTAGAGATTTCAACAAATGACTACATACAGAACAAAATAAATGAATCTACACTCTAAAATATGTCTATATACATCCGTATGTGATAGTTCATTTAAAATCTCTAAAAAAACAAATATTTAGGAACGGACGGAGTATTATGTGGGCTGAAAAACATGTGTGTCTTTGGTAGGCCGAAGGCTGAAGAGGAAAGGAAAACTATGCTTTCCACTAGGCTGAATATCTGGGCTGCGGCCCTGTGCAGGTGTTGCATCGGCTGTACAGGCCCGGGGCCGGCCCATGAGGGTTTCATTGTTGGCGGAGGCGTCTAAGGTCTTCTATGCATCTTTCTACACATACTGAAATATATTGTATCCCCCTAAAAAAAGTACAATATTTAGTACTAGTATTGTGTAAAGAATGCGCATTATCTTTGTATGTCAAAAGAAAAATATCGGCTCTATATCCTTTTTTGTGACACGTGCATATAGATTTCCATGGATATTGGATAGAGACGATATTAATTCCTCATCAACCTTTCCCAAAAATGGCTACTCGCCCTCCCGGGACACGTGCGTGAACACGGCACCCGAGGCATGAAGCGCCGATCACAGCATCTCGATCCTTCTCCAGTCTCACATTCTCACACTATATATCCACGCGAGGCGTCCACCTGCGAAGCACCAACCAAGCCAAGCTTGCATACTATCGTAGCGTGCAAAACCCCCGCCGCGCCAATCCACCACCTCGATCGCCGTCGGCCGGCCCCCCAGATCCAGCGCGAATGGCCACTCTCGTGTTCGACGCGGCGGTCCTCAGCCGGAAGGACGACATCCCGCCGCAGTTCGTCTGGCCAGCCGACGAGGCCCCGTCCGTCCACGGCGTGGAGGAGATCGCCGTCCCGGTCGTCGACATCGCCGGGTTCCTGGCGGGCGACGGCGCTGCCACTGGCGGCCTCCGTGACCTGGCCGCCGCGTGCGAGAAGCACGGGTTCTTCCAGGTCGTGAACCACGGAGTGGACCCGGCGCTGCTCGCCAAGGCGTACCGGTGCTGCGACGCCTTCTACGCGCTGCCGCTCGCCGAGAAGCAGCGCGCGCAGCGCCGCCTCGGCGAGAACCACGGGTACGCCGGCAGCTTCGTGGGGCGGTTCGGCAGCAAGCTCCCCTGGAAGGAGACCGTGTCCTTCAACTGCTCCGCCGCGCCGGAGGGCGCCCGCAAGGTCGTCGACTACTTCGTCGCCGTCCTCGGCGAGGAGTACCGTGACATGGGGTACGTGCCCACTTACGTCACTCTCTCTCTCTTTCTAGCTAAATCCATGCGTAATTGCGTACACTAGACATAGCCGCTATTGCTTTCCAAACCAATCCATGCATATACGTTATTACTACTTTCTTAGTGATGTATACAAGAGGACGATCGTGCCCTGATTTTTCATTCGAAAAGGCCAAACTTGTCTTACAAGTACCCATAACGACAAGGAATCTTGAAGTAGAAGCAGTGTAGAGCCGCATCCGAGCTAGCAGAAGATAGCCCTAGAAAAAGCTCAGCAAAGGTCTACATTTTTACGAACGATATTTGGCATGTAGTCAAACCATAGGGGTGCATGCATATTTATGCTTGGAAATGCATGCATGCATGCAGAGAGGTGTGGCAGGAGTACTGCGACGAGATGACGCGCCTGGCGCTGGACGTCACGGACGTCCTGGCGGCGTGCCTGGGCCTCGGCCGCGGCGCGCTGCGGGGCTTCTTCGCCGGCGACGCCTCCCTGATGCGGCTGAACCACTACCCGCCGTGCCAGCAGCCGCACCTGACGCTGGGCACGGGCCCGCACCACGACCCGACGTCGCTGACGCTGCTCCACCAGGACGACGTCGGCGGGCTGGAGGTGTTCACCGGCGGCGCGTGGCGCGCCGTGCGGCCCCGGGGCGACGCCTTCGTCGTCAACATCGGCGACACCTTCTCCGCGCTCACCAACGGGCGCCACATCAGCTGCCTCCACCGCGCCGTCGTCAACAGCAGCCTGGCCCGCAGGTCGCTCACCTTCTTCCTCAACCCGCAGCTGGACTGCCCCGTTGCGCCGCCGGCCGAGCTGCTCGCCATCGACGGCCGCCCGCGCGCGTACCCGGACTTCACTTGGCGTGAGTTCCTCGAGTTCACGCAGAAGCACTACCGCTCTGACTGGAGGACCCTGGATGCCTTCGCCGCGTGGATCAATCAGGGCCGCAAAGGATAGAAGGGAAACCGGCCAGAAAAGGAAGCAGGTGAAATCTAATAAAGATACCATCTAAAATGGAGCAGAGACAATTTGGATGGATGTGGATTTTGATTGAATGTAAAAGAACCGGATGTCTTGTTTTTTATATAATGATGAGACATGATGTGAATTTAGAGATTTTAATATTGATCCTTGGCACAATTCTTCCTTCTCTTTTTTTAGAAGAACAGGGAGGCTCCTCCGCGGTTCCATTAACCAGAATCAAACCATATAGCGTTTATTTTGTTTGAAAAATCTACTGAAAACTAAGGTTCATCATTCGGACTAAAAACAGAGAAATTACAACCCTGCTCGACAGGAGCCAAAAGGACAAATGAAAGCACACCGGAGGCAACATAGACGCCTGTCAACCAATGATCACACCACATGACTCGCTCGCTCCCCTCCTCTTGAGTGGTGGTGCCAGGGTCGCCTGGGGTGACCAGCATATTGTGAGGGTGGACACGGGGCTGTTCACCATGGTCTTGCCGTCGGTGTCACGCTTCTTGGCCGGAGAAGAGAAACCGCCGTCTTCAGAGATCTTGAGGTTGCCCCGGCATACCCCAGTATCCAGTCCAGGGTTCTTCTTCAGCCACATGATAACATTAGGGGTTGTTGGAATAGCTTTGCCAGCGCACTCAAGAACTCTTCCACGCGGGCTTTGCTTGTTTCTGGAAACAGAATCACCCAGGACTTGAGCATCCTGTGTATCAGTCTCCATACCTGATTGATAGATGTTCACATGGTGTTATTAAAAATCATAGAGTTCCTATATTTCCATAAACACCAAAGGACAGCAGAACTAACTACGTTCAAAACTAAATTCTTTTTATTAGAGATCCAGAGTCGGGCCACAGCTTCAAAGTTTGCACCCAAGTTTTTCTGGAAAAAGAGATTGACAAACGACCATATATTTTTAGCTACAATACAGTCAAAAAATAAATGATGGTTTGTTTCTTGCTCCACACAGAAGACACAATCAAGTGGTTTGATTATATGCCTTTTCCTAAGGTTGTCTCTTGTCATCAGTTTGTTTTGGGAAAACAACCAAAGGAAGACATGAATCTTCGGGGGCACCGCCAGTTTGCAAACCGCTGGCAAAAACAGGGGTTGCACCCCTCTAAAGTTAATCACGTGGTACAAAGAGCTAAAGGAGTAGACACCCTTATTCTCAAGTTGCCAGATCAGGGCATCAGAATCACCATCAAAAGTGATTTCTTCGGCAATCTCCAATAGTTGGTACCATAGATCCATCAACTTACTATCAAAGTTTCTCCTAAAGGTCAACTTCAGTATTTCACCATCCCAGACATCTCTGACACTCTTGTTTTGCTCATTGCAAATTATATAGATGTGCCGGAATTGTACTGCTAGGGGGGAGGTGCCAAACCAAGTATCTTCCCAAAATCTAATCTTGTTTCCTGTCCCTATTTTCCATCTATACCCAAATTTCAAAGTTTGTATAATGGATTTCACCCCTTTCCAGAACCTAGAGGTATTGATGGAGGTGCTAGGGGCAAAGACATTAGTTTTGCCTCTCATATATTTCTGGTCTATCATCATCTTCCAGGGCTTACCATCACCCTCATAGTATCTTCTAACCCAAGATCCTAAGAGGCAGATGTTGACCTCATGAAGATTTGGGATGCCAAGCCCCCCAAATTCTTTCTTCATACAGACCATCTTCCAATTAGCTAGGTGCAATTTCCTGTGCCCCTCAAAATCATTCCATAGACAATTTGCCATTTGGGCATTAATAAGCTCAATTGCCCATTTAGGAAATTTAAAGAAAGAAAGCAAGTACACAGGAATACTAGCTAAACATGCTTGGATGAGGATTATTCTCCCCCTATAAGAAAGAAGCTTCCCTCTCCATCCAGCAATCCTTTTCATGATCTTGTCAATAAGTGGTTGAATATCTTCTCTCCTAAGTTTATCGTAGTGCAAAGGGATCCCAAGGTATTTAATGGGGAAGGAACCTATAGTACATTCTAGTATCTCTAGGAACCCTCCCACCTCAGCTGCATCCATGTGAACTGGAATGAGTTCATTTTTACTATAGTTTATTCTCATTCCAGAGATCATCTCAAAACTGGAGAGAACCATCTTCAGGTTTCTGGTATGTTCTAGATTTTTGTCTAAGAATAAGATGGTATCATCAGCATATTAGAGACATATTATCCCCCAGGGCAAATCTCAGCACATAACCCTTGTATCAGCTGATGATTTGTTGCTTTCATTAACATCCTAGTTAAAATACCAACTACTAAGTTGAATAGCAGGGGGGGAATGGGGTCCCCCTGCCTTAACCCTTTCCCTGTAAGGAAAAAAATCACTCTCAGTGTTGTTAAGCTTAACACCCACTGATCCACCCCTAGTTACTTGAAGGATCCAATGGACCCATTTCTCTCCAAATCCTCTCTTCCTAAGCAGCTCTTCAAGGAATTCCAAGTCTACTTTGTCAAAAGCTTTTTTATAGTCTAGCTTAAGTACTAGGCCTTGCCTTTTAGTAGAGTGGATGGAGTGCAGAATCTCATGAGCTGTGACCACACTTTCCAAGATATATCTGCCCTTTAGGAAGGTTGATTGGTTACTAGCAATGAGCCTTTATAGGATCATGGATAGTCTATTTGTGAGGACCTTGGTGAAGATCTTGAAACTACAATTTAACAAACTAATGGGCCTAAATTTTTTCATGCTGGAAGCATCAGCTTCTTTGGGGATCAAAGTCAGCATAGCAAAGTTAAGTATATGAATAGCCAGCTCCCCCTGATGAAAAACTTCAAACATGGCTATTAGGTCTTTTTTGATCAGCTCCCAAAAATGCTGATAAAAAAGAATGGAATACCATCTGGGCCAGGGGCACCATCTGCATATGATTCAAAGACAACCTTCTTGATTTCCTCTTCTAGGAAGGGGGCCTCAAGGGCTTCATTTTCAGTAGGGTTAACTTTCACTTCCTTAGAGAAAAAGGTTGGGTCTAACTGAATCCTACCCCTATCCTCTTTCTTGAAGAGATCTTTATAGAAGTTGGTAGCAATCCCAAGCATTTCCTTCATGTTAGTGACTGGCCCAAGGGGGCCATCCAAGGAGTGGATAGTTGTTTTCATCTTCCTTTGGTTTGCCACTGCATGGAAATACTCAGTATTCCTATCACCTTCTTTAATGTCCCTATCCCTAGATCTCTGCTTTGCTTTGATCTCCTCTTGGAGCCAGATTTTCTGGAGCTCACCATGTGTGAATTTGAGCCTAGCTGCCTCAGAGTCAGAGAGCACTAAATTTTAGATTTGATGTCTAGCTTGTCATACTCCTCTAAAAGGATTTTTCTTATATCTCCTAAGTTGGGCCTCTTCATTAGAGCTCCAACCTTTGGTCACTCTCCTAAGCTTTCTCATCTTCTCTTGCCAATTGTCTAAAGGGTTGGCCTTAAGGATGGGTTCATTCCATATCTTGGAAACTAGCTTGGAGAAATCCTCTCTAAGCAACCACCATTTTTCCATCCTATAACTACTACTCTTAGGGCTTTGCCCAATCCCTGATTCCTAGATGATGGGTGCATGATCACTGCCACATCTAGGGAGAGCCATGCAGGAGGCTAGTGGAAATTTTTTGTCAAGCTCAGTATTACAGAAGAGTCTATCTATTGTGGACATGATCAGGTCAGCCTGGTTGTTAGCCCAGGTGAATTTTCTACTAGATAGCTTAATCTCCAACAGACTCCAAATTTCTATCCAAGCATTAAAGTTGTCACACCACCTATGGTTGACAACACCATTGCTTTTTTCTCTAGCATACCTAACTAGATTGAAATCCCCCCAATCAGGGTGGGGTGTGGATTCTCTATGAACAGGGAGTGAAGCTCAGAGATAAATGCTTCCTTCCCTTCCTCATAGGGAGATCCATAAACAGTGACAATTCTAAAGGTTACATCTTTATTTTCCAGCTTAAGGACACAACTAACTGAAAAATCAAGATGATACCATGAAATGATCTCAAAAAGGTCAGCATCCACACCCATCAGGATGCCCCAAGCAGAGCCTTTAGATGGGAGGTGGTGCCAGAAGAAGTTCCTGCTTCCTACCAAGGATTTAAGGTAGGAATCAGATAATTCTTCTTTTTTGGTTTCTTGGAAGCCAATGACAAATGCTTGTATCTTCCTAATTGTATCAACTACAAGGGTTTTCCTCCCTGGAGCAGAGATACCCCTAACATTCCAAAAATAGCATTCATTGGAGAACTTTTGTCCTGGGGTGCTTGCCCCGTTTGTGATTACATACTAGGTTCCACACTCCAACAGAGTCAAAGCTACTATTGTGCTCCACCCCATCCTCTATAATACTTTTGGGGGGGGGGTGGTGAAACCTGAGTCAGGATCATACTTTTTGGTTTTTTGGTTTCTTCCTTCTCTTTTCTGCAACCATACAAAAAATGATAATTTTTGCCTTGTTCCGGGCCTCTGGTACCATAACTTTTAGAGCATGCAAACAGAGATATAATATACTCTCTCGGTTTCAAAATTAGTGCGTATAGTTTTTTTAAGTCAAACTTTTATAAATTTTGATCAAATTTATTGAGAAAACTATTTATATTTATAATATCAAATACATAAAATATAAAACTACGTCTTACAATGAATCAGTTGGACTCTGGAATCATCCAAATCATGATATTGATCATCGCCTATTAATTGGACATATCAACATAGATGGAAGACACCAGAAGCTGAAGCTATATAGTAACAATTAAGGCCTTCTACTATTGTAGAACACAAAGTCTTGATATAAAGTTAATCCAATGGACTAAATGCAGAGCTCCCAAGCGTGCATATGCCTAGACAATTCTCATCCTTCATTCACATTATGGGTTCTCGAGTTGCATGAAAATGATGCGCAATGCGATACATGAGACTAGAAAAAAATATATGAGTTTCATATGAATTTCATATAAACATGGTTGATGAATTAGATGAACCTGCGACG